CACACACACACACACACACACACACACATCACACATATAATATATATATATATATATATATATATTATATATATATATATATATATGTATGTATTTATATATACTACATATATCACATATATATCATATATATGCATATATATATAATATATATATATATATAATATATATAATATTTATGATGTATTTATAATATACATATATTCACATATATACATATATATGCATACACAATATATATGTATTTTTATGTTATCATATATATTACATATATATAAGCATATATATTATAGCTATTATATATATATATATATATTATATAATATATATATTATATATATACATATGTATATGTATATATACTCGTATATATATATATAATATATATATATATATATCATATATATATATAATATATATATATATATATATATATATATATATATATATATATATATATATATATATAGAGGAGAACCAGTGCTGCGGTGAACATCTTTATTGGTAAACGTTTCAGAGATCGTAATTTCTTCCATCATCAGTACTAGAAATAATGAACCAGAGAACATATAATTAGATGTAGTAAAACAAAAAAAACATAGTTCATAAGAAAAGCAACAATAAAATAGGAATAAAATCAAACAATAAGAAAACGGCAGAAACATAGTGAAAAAAGTGTTGTAAGGGTGGGACATACCAAACAAGTGTGAAATGGTGGTTATGGTGATTACACAGTCAACAACTGGATGGCTGTGTTGGCATTCAGCTCGGGTTTCATCTTATGGTATGCAGGGATTCTAGGATGAGGAGGTCGAGTCTGTTAGGTGTGGAAGACAGAATTTTAAAATCACTGTGAGTGAAAGGATGGTCTTCTGTTTGTGAATGATGGCGGATAGCGGAGAAAGATGGTCTGCTCAGAGGGTAGGCTGGTTCTTATTGACTTACCCATATGCTCAAGTATTCTATGTTTGAACCATCGTGTAGACGATCCAATGTACCTAGCATTCCATCTAGGACAGTTAAAATATAACAATATTTTGAAACATAATTCTGAGGGCAGAAGCATTTTCATTTTAAAGAAAGAGTTGATATTATAGGAGTTCACAAAAACAATGTTGAATTTAATTTGTGGGAATGAATGTTTCAGTATCTCACGTAATTGTTTACGGATGGTGAAGCTTATATGTCCAAGATACGGTAACTTTATATACTTGGTTTCTTTGGAGCAGTCTGTATTTTCGTGGGTGGACATAATTTGTTATCTAGGAATGATCTAAGTGTCTTGTAAAATACGTTGTCAGGATAGCCATTGTTATTGAAGTAATCAACCAAGAATTTCATTTCTTTGTCAAACTGCATCCAGGTGGAACATATGTTGAAAGCTCTGTTGATTAGAGTGGCGATACTGTTAATCTTATATTTCATAGGTGAGAAACTTAAAAAGTTCATTCCCAAACCGGTGAAAGTAGGTTTTCTGTAAACTGTAGTGGAAAGGCGTCCATTTTCTTTAGATATCAGTGTGTCAAGAAAGGGAAGTTCGTTTTCCTTTTCTATTCACACGTAAACTTAATGTTAGGGTGTTGGTCATTTAGGTAAGAAAGGAAATGGTCAATGTGGACTGTTGTTTGAACAAAAGGAACGTGTCATCAATATACCTTTTGTAGAATATTGGTTTGAAATCATTTGGACAGTTATTTAACCAGTTACATTCATGGTGACATAGGAAGGCGTTTGCGTAACTTGGGCCAAGTGGTGAACCCATAGCTACACCATCTATCTGAGTATATAAATTGTTGTCAAATGTGAAAACAGAATCTCTTGTGGCAATATTTAGAAAAGAATTAAATTGTTTCTTGTTTAGACCAAACTGTGATATGGACTCGTCTGATTATGGAGTCCGTAATAATCTGTGTAGTTTCTGACAGAGGAACGTTAGTGAATAGTGATTCCACGTCAAAGCTGGCCATTACTGTGGAATCTTCATGTTGAGTTTGTTTTGATTTCTTCCACAAAATCCAAGTGTTGGCAGTGGTATACTCATTAATGTTAGGGTTGGATGATTTGACAAGGAATTTTAGCAAGGTTATAGTTAAATGTATTAATAGAGGACACAATAGGTCTCAGGGGTGTCCCTATTTGTGAACTTTTGGGAGTCCATATAAGTTAACCGGGTCGAGAGCCAGAAGCAAGAATGGAGTTATTATGGTTTTCATTGATGGTTTCTTTTAAGTCGTAATATCCTGTTTAATTTATCCTCAAGTTTTAGGAGATGACTGGGAAGATCAACGTGTAGAAGTTTAAATTTAGATGAGTCTGAAAGGATGCTAGATATTTTGTTATAGTAATCATTCTTATTCAGGATAACTATGCCTTTCCCTTTGTCTGGTCTTGTTATTACAATATTTCCATCATCTTTTAAATTTTGAAGAACATCAGAGTATTGTTCAGTATGGTCAGGGCTGTGTACAGATTCTCTGCAATGCTGTACATACATATCATTAGCAAGCGCAGATATCTTGTTGAAAACTGTGTTAATTGTATCTTTGTAGATGTTACAGTTTTTGAGCATCTGACAGGTCCGTTCGAAATGAACAAAGAAATTGGCAAAACTCGATTTGCGGGGTCGAAGACCAAAATCCAAGCCAAGTGATAAAACATTCTTTTCCTTATCTTTAGAATTCTGCATACCCATAAGATGAAACCCGAGCTGAATGCCAACACAGCCATCCAGTTGTTGACTGTGTAATCACCATAACCACCATTTCACACTTGTTTGGTATGTCCCACCCTTACACACTTTTTTCACTATGTTTCTGCCGTTTTTGTATTGTTTGATTTTATTCCTATTTTATTGTTGCTTTTCTTATGAACTATGTTTTTCTTTTGTTTACTACATCTAATTATATGTTCTCTGGTTCATTATTTCTAGTACTGATGATGGAGATGAATTACGATCTCTGAAACGTTTACAATAAAGATGTTCACCGCAGCACTGGTTCTCCTTTTCATTCTACGACTACGGTTCCCGAGTGGAAAATCAACAACCGAAATTATCACTAGAAGATACGGCCAACCAACGCTCAAGACCTACAGATGCGTCAACAAGAACATCTTCAAATCCAAGAAAATAGAACTGGACCTTAAATTTCTCAACTATTGTAAATTATATGGCACTATCCCCAATTTCCTCAAATTCAAACTATATGATAAATCATTCCTTTCAACGAGCACCTACAAATCATGGCTTTTCAAATTACTTGACCGTGAAATTAAGAAACAAACAGAAAGCTCACAAAACTTAGGGACACTACAAACAACCATGTCCTTGACTTAAGATCTAAAGTCAACATGTTCGACTTTAAATGCCTCTCTGCATTAATTAATCTGAATGTAGAGAAAAGACTGTCTTCTGTAAGTGCTATCCACCATAGAAAGTTAAAAAACTTGGACATTGATCTAAGCAAAAAGGTTGATGCAAACAAAATAATCTTTAACTTCTCAGACAGAATTCTAACTGATAAGGAAAGAATGTTTTATCACTTGGCTTGGATTTTGGTCTTCGACCCCGCAAATCGAGTTTTGCCAATTTCTTTGTTCATTTCGAACGGACCTGTCAGATGCTCAAAAACTGTAACATCTACAAAGATACAATTAACACAGTTTTCAACAAGATATCTGCGCTTGCTAATGATATGTATGTACAGCATTGCAGAGAATCTGTACACAGCCCTGACCATACTGAACAATACTCTGATGTTCTTCAAAATTTAAAAGATGATGGAAATATTGTAATAACAAGACCAGACAAAGGGAAAGGCATAGTTATCCTGAATAAGAATGATTACTATAACAAATATCTAGCATCCTTTCAGACTCATCTAAATTTAAACTTCTACACGTTGATCTTCCCAGTCATCTCCTAAAACTTGAGGATAAATTAAACAGGATATTACGACCTTTAAAAGAAACCATCAATGAAACATATATAAACTCCATTCTTGCTTCTGGCTCTCGACCCGGTTACTTATATGGACTCCCAAAAGTTCACAAAATAGGGACACCCCTGAGACCTATTGTGTCCTCTATTAATACATTTAACTATAACCTTGCTAAATTCCTTGTCAAAATCATCCAACCCCTAACCATTAATGAGTATACCACTGCCAACACTTTGGATTTTGTGGAAGAATCAAACAACTCAACATTGAAGATTCCACAGTAATGGCCAGCTTTGACGTGGAATCACTATTCACTAACGTTCCTCTGTCAGAAACTACACAGATTATTACGGACTCCATATCAGACGAGTCCATATCACAGTTTGGTCTAAACAAGAAACAATTTAATTCTTTTCTAAATATTGCCACAAGAGATTCTGTTTTCACATTTGACAACAATTTATATACTCAGATAGATGGTGTAGCTATGGGTTCACCACTTGGCCCAAGTTACGCAAACGCCTTCCTATGTCACCATGAATGTAACTGGTTAAATAACTGTCCAAATGATTTCAAAACCAATATTCTACAAAAGGTATATTGATGACACGTTCCTTTTGTTCAAACAACAGTCACACATTGACCATTTCCTTTTTACCTAAATGACCAACACCCTAACATTAAGTTTACGTGTGAAATAGAAAAGGAAAACGAACTTCCCTTTCTTGACACACTGATATCTAAAGAAAATGGACGCCTTTCCACTACAGTTTACAGAAAACCTACTTTCACCGGTTTGGGAATGAACTTTTTAAGTTTCTCACCTATGAAATATAAGATTAACAGTATCGCCACTCTAATCAACAGAGCTTTCAACATATGTTCCACCTGGATGCAGTTTGACAAAGAAATGAAATTCTTGGTTGATTACTTCAATAACAATGGCTATCCTGACAACGTATTTTACAAGACACTTAGATCATTCCTAGATAACAAATTATGTCCACCCACGAAAATACAGACTGCTCCCAAAGAAACCAAGTATATAAAGTTACCGTATCTTGGACATATAAGCTTCACCATCCGTAAACAATTACGTGAGATACTGAAACATTCATTCCCACAAATTAAATTCAACATTGTTTTTGTGAACTCCTATAATATCAACTCTTTCTTTAAATGAAAATGCTTCTGCCCTCAGAATTATGTTCAAATATTGTGTATATTTTTAACTGTCCTAGATGGAATGCTAGGTACATTGGATCGTCTACACGATGGTTCAAACATAGAATACTTGAGCATATGGGTAAGTCAATAAGAACCAGCCTACCTCTGAGCAGACCATCTTTCTCCGCTATCCGCCATCATTCACAAACAGAAGACCATCCTTTCACTCACAGAGATTTTAAAATTCTGTCTTCCACACCTAACAGACTCGACCTCCTCATCTAGAATCCCTGCATACCCATAAGATGAAACCCGAGCTGAATGCCAACACAGCCATCCAGTTGTTGACTGTGTAATCACCATAACCACCATTTCACACTTGTTTGGTATGTCCCACCCTTACACACTTTTTTCACTATGTTTCTGCCGTTTTCTTATTGTTTTGATTTTATTCCTATTTTATTGTTGCTTTTCTTATGAACTATGTTTTTCTTTTGTTTACTACATCTAATTATATGTTCTCTGGTTCATTATTTCTAGTACTGATGATGGAGATGAATTACGATCTCTGAAACGTTTACAATAAAGATGTTCACCGCAGCACTGGTTCTCCTTTTCATTCTACGACTACGGTTCCCGAGTGGAAAATCAACAACCGAAATTATTATATATATATTATATATATATATATATATATATATATATATATATATATATATATATTATTGTGTGTGTGGTGTTGTGTGTGTGTGTTTGTGTGTGTGTGTGTAAATGCATATGCATACAAATATAAGATACAATATATATATGTGTGGTGTATGTGTGTGTGTGTGTGTGCATACACATATATGTGTGTATGTGTGTTTGTGTGTGTGTAATGATAATGATAATAATATAATTTATGGTTTGCTGTGACAGGCTTTTGTGACATCAGTCAAATTGTGGCTCGTCTGTTTTTTGTGCTTCTAAACTATCCCCTGCGTGGGAGGAATGGCCGGGGTTACCATCCACTGGCGGTGCGCGGGAATCGAACGCAGGTCAGCACGATTGCTAGACGAAAGTGCGCGCGCGCGCGTGTGTACATATATATAATATATATTATATTATATTATGTATATATATATATATTTACCAAATAAAAGGCATAAACATACCAAAGCAATCAAGGCAAAAATCTGAAGAATAGTACATAATTTTACCATTACAAATATCCAGACTTGGGTACTGGTCCACATCCATGTACACAACACTAACAAAACCTTAAAAAAAGTTAAAATGCATGTTTCATACTTTATACTTTATAAAGGTGTAACAAGGAATCATAAACACACTAAAGACATAAAAAAAATTAAGAAACTGAACAAGTATGCATAATCTAAACCCAGTTTATACCCCCCACCCCCCCACACAGCAGTTAAGGAACTCCACAAGCAAATACACACCCAAAAACAACCGCAACACAACAAAAACACTTTATCTAAAAAAGATAAAATAAAAAATAAGAAAAAAATAAAAAAAAGTCTAAAATATATCTAACCCTTGTAAATATCCGAACAGCTGTTATCAGATGTTCCTGCGCCTCCCCAGTGTCCATCATCCCAGTTCCGGTTGAGGTCGACGCCATGACAGACATTACCCTCGTGAAGCATTCGGTTCTTTCTCCAGAGTCTGTCCTGTGTGGGCGGGAGGGGGGGGTTAAGAGGAGATTGACGATGAAATTGAGGAAAAGGGGGAATGGTTAGTAAAGTGGGGGAAACAGGAGAATGGTTAGTAAAGTGGGGGAACAGGAGAATGTTTAGTAAAGGGAGGAAACGGGAGAATGGTTAGTAAAGGGAGGAAACGGGAGATTGGCGATGAAAGTGAGGAAACAAGAGAATGCCGAGTAAAGGGAGGAAATAGGAGAATAGCGAGTAAAGTGGAGAAACGGAAGTATGGCTAGTAAAGTGGGGAAACAGGAGATTGGCGATTAAAGTGAAGAAACAGGAGATTAGCGATGAAAGGGAGGAAACAGGGGATTGGCGATGGAAGGGAGGAAACGGGAGAATGGTTAGGAAAGTGAGGAAACTAGAGAATGCGAGTAAAGTGAGGACACAGGATATTGGCGATGAAGGGGAGGAAATAGAAGAATAACGATGAAAATAGGGAAACAGGTGAAAGGAGGCAAATTGTGAAAATAAAAGATGTAGAGGCAAAGTGAAGATGATACATATATAGTAGAACAGTGATAGTGATGATTATAACAATATTATAAAAAAAAAATGATAATCATAATTATAATAAGAACAGCAACGACAATAATGATAATAATGATTATAATTGTTATGATAAGAAAATAATAAAGCGAATGATGGCAATTATAATGATACTGATAAACATGATTATATAATGTTAATAA